GTAGATCACGCCCCCACCATGCCGCCCTCTACCTGAAGTGCTCTTTCCCACATATTGCAGGGAAGTGGCATGCTTTTCTGTGTGTTCCTTCTCTTGCCTCCCCACCAGATAGGGGATGGGGGAAGAAGAAATATCACCCCCAGCCAGGGGATGTAAATGCCGGCGGCAGCTTGACGTAGGTGACGTGTGTCACGGATCGGGGCTCACAGGTATTAACTGGAATCGGGTATGTGGACCCTTTCTACTACACTGGCAGGGACACTTAGGGAAAAGGGTCCGAGCAGTGTAGGCTGACGACTCCCAGAGCTGGAGTACAAGCAGGGAACAGTAGTGGAAGGCAGAGAGACTGGTAGGTCAAGGTACTAGGCAGGGTGCTGCAATGCTAGGTAGGTGGCATCGGGTCCCCCAGGATCTGCACTCTAACGGCCAGCCAGTGTTCACCAGATCTCCTGATGGTGGAGATGGGCTTGGCTGCGTGCTGACCCCAGGTCACAATCCCTAGGTTTACGCAACTCACTTAACAGCCAAGAATGGTTGACAAGGCCAGAGTTCTGGACAGGTTGCAGACACGCATACAAGGGACAAAACAAAGGTCAGGGACAGACGGAGGACCAGGAGTTCCAGGGACAATCTGAAGACTGGTATTTCCACGGAATGGCCAAAGGATAGGGACAGACAGAAGACTGGGATCACCAAGGACACATTTAAAGTTCAGGGCAGACTGAGGACAAGGATTTCCAGGGACAAGCCAAAGGTCGGTACACAGGAAAATTTCAAGGAATTCAGGTTCATCCGCAACCGGGGGGCTCGGCATCTAGCTTGGGAAAGCCTTGCTCAGGCAGCATGTCGTTCGCTGCCCTGGGTTTAAATAGAGACAGCAAGCAGACTGCATTGATTGGCCAAGAAGCTGCATAAGAAACAGCAGGAGAGGTCGGCCGACGCCTAAAGCTGCCAGACTGGTGCAAGAGCGCGTCAGGCACAAAGCACATGCCTGGAGAACTACAAGCAACAGCCCTGCATGCCTGCAGAACCAGGGGTAAGAGGTCTGCATATACTTGTAGTACTACAATTAACAGCTCAGCTGCAAGTCTTCAGCTGAACTGTGACAATGTGTGCACAATGCATTACCAACTACTGACCCTTGTATCCTGTGTCGCTACTGACCTCGAACTCTACTTACTACTGAACTCTGCATTACTTCTAACCCCTGCACTCAGCGTTACCAACTACTAACTTTTGACCTCTGTGTTACCTCTTACCCTTGTGCTCTGGTTTACGTATTCCGGACCTCTGCACTCTTCAATACATACTACTGCCTCTGAACTCTGCGCTACTTCTAACCCCTGCACTGTTGTAAGCAAAATGTATACTGCTCTTACAGGCTAAACCCAGCTGACCAGCCAGCCAGCCTGGCCAGATTTAGCTCAGCCAGCCAGGCAATATCTCAAGCCAGGACCAGCCACTGGGGTCAGAACTCGGACCAGCATTGGACCACCCTACTAGAGGGTCATCTGATCCAGATTCTGTTGGACAACACCATGGGCAACGCTACGACAGTGGCATACAGCAATTATCAGAGATGAAACAAAAGTCTCACTGCGACGCTAGGTAGAGAGGATCCTGTTCTGGGCAGAATGTCGCATTCCAACCTTGTCAGATGTGTACATACTAGGCGCAGAAAATTGTCGTTTGGCAGCACCTGGATCCTGGGGAGTGGTTCCTACGAACAGAGATGTTTCAGAATCTGTTTTGCATATGCATAACAACAAACTGTTAGCAGTGGATGCTTAAGCGGCACTGTGTAATCTGTAAACCCTGATATATGCCTTTCCTCCCCTGAAACTTCTGGATTCTGTGAAGCAGACAAGATGGAGGGAATCTTATGTCCCAAGGACCAATTTACTATTCTTCACAGTTGCTGACTTTAACTGTATGACTGTTGAAGCCCAGGTTCTGAGGGACAGGGGCATCTGAGTCTCTGGTTCCAAGGATGGCAAAAGCTAGAAAATGTACTTCTCTCAAGGTCTACAATCGGATGTGAAAGGCATACTTCCCTTAGTGTGAGTCTCGAGGCCTCTACTGTAGGAGTCTGGATGTGGTTCGGAACACCATGGAGGTTTATTTCTCACCTGCTGCTTTTTTCAGGATGACTGCTTCCCTTTTTGTAATCCTGGATGGGCCCAATAAGGTTGCACTGGCTTCTTGTTCCCACATATGTAGGTGACTAAGACACACTATCATCCAAGCTTAAGGTCTCAAGGATTAGGTTCCATCCTTTTCTGTCAAGGCATATTCTACTGGATCAGTCAGTGGTTCTTGTACTTTTTCAGCATCAAACATGTTTCCTAGATTTGCAAGGCTGCTACCGTGTCTTCTGTTTGCCAAAGGTCTTCCAAAGGCTCTTTAAGCTACAGGCATTCCCAAGTTATTTATTGTTCTCTTGGGCCTGTAAGCAGTGGTCTGCTATTTTTCCCACCCCTCAATCTGATTGCTTTTGGATGTCCCAGTGGTTTAAAACTTCCTACATCCCCAAATGACCAAGAAAAAAAAATAGGAATAGGATTTTTGTACTCGTCACAAAATCCTTTTTTTCTTTAAGGCCCCAACCCTCTGTGTTTATGATCATGCTCTCAGTTCTGCTTGCTTCAAAACTGAGCTGTACTGGGAGGGGTTATGCCGGACTGACCTACATTTTTTTTATTTTTTGCCAGTGTCCAGTTCTTCTGTAGGCGGCATTATAACCCAAAGGTTTAAAAGCCAAGTTTAGCTTTTGGACCATGTTTTATGTTACACCCATATTCATAACATGAAACATGGTCAACACACACACACACACACTCTCTCTCTTTTTCTCCTACAGGCTAATGTTGATTTTTAAATTTGGCACTGCTGTGCATTCACAGATCCTTTAATAGCATCTGTGAATGGATAAACTGCAAGGGGTAGTTGTATTTCTTAATGGAATACAAGCGCGGTGACGTCACCACACTTGTAGTCCAGTCTTCCTCTAGCTTCGTCTTATGAAAATTCATGACCCAGCTAGCTATCCCTAGTCATAGCCAAATAATAGCTCCTGCTCCAAGACTTGCCCCTTTTATTTTTGATAGAAATAACATAACGTAGTGAGGAAAGCATACGTAACATTTGATGTCTGACCGATTCGGTCACGAGGGCCATATATAAAACTTGTTGATTAAATTGCTATATCTGGAATACAAGTTATCTGGAGATTTTTTTTTAACATAGTGAACATTTCTGCTACCGATATGGTGGACTTTTCCCCAAAACAAGCTGTTGTTGTTGTTGTTTATTTGGTCATTCCAGCACTAAATTCTTGCAAATATTCTTGTGCTTGTAATGCAAAATTACGGGTGCCTGTTGTGTGTTGTATTTTTTTGTTTTGTTTGTGTTTTTTGTTTTACTTTTGTCACAGATATACTTAAAAAATATGGGACTAGGTACCTGGAATGTCACCTATTAGAAGTATGCAGGGTGTGATGAGCCTGCAAAGGGTGTCAGGGCGATACATACATTTATAACTGTCACCAGCCAAGACAATTTGAAAATATTTTATCACCTGCAGCCAGCATTTTTGTGTTCCTGGTGAAAGGTTAATTGTAACCACTGCACAGTGTTGGCTGCAGCTTCTGTGTGGTCCCCCAGGTGCAGGCCCTGTTTATTTGACATGTGGAGATGAGAAAACAATACTCTCCTCATCCTTGCACGTACAACTAAAAGGTACACATGCAGTCAAACGGCATTTTCACATCCACTCTTTTCTCACAAAAACAAGTCAAAGTTGTCAGACTTGAGCTCCCACTTGGTAAGGCACTGTTTGCAAAGGTGATGGACACATGGAGTGAGATTTCCTGGTATAAGAATGAATGATCTCACAGCCAAGTATTCCATTATCACGGGCCCTTACAATGCATTGAATACCAGTGCTATAATTGAACTTCCTTGCAGAAATTTCTCATTTTAGTGTCTTTATAGAGCATAGTAAAAACACAGATGTGAAAGCAGATAATGCCAGCTAACTGTGTCTCATTTTAACATTTTCCATACCTGCTCATAAAGCTTTATCCTGCCTGAGCCCAGTTTTATTTGGGAAATCAGCACTTTTATGCAGCAAATCAGAGCTGGAATTGATCCCAAAGGTGTCTGAAGAAAGAAATTACTTTTACATCCAAAATCTTTCCTTGGGGGGGAATCACAATTCATCTATAGTGCTTAAATATCCATTTATTATGCGGTTTTCTGCTTCGTAGGTGGGTATTTAGGGTGGCTTTAGAACATAATCACGCCATAAGTTTATATCCCACATTCTCGTATAATGCTTGCAATTCATAAGTCAGGACAACTTTTTAAAGCCTGGATCAGTTTCTAGTCCACTGGGATGGCTTGACCCATGGAAAACATTTAATCTCTCAGTTTCTTTAATATAAACTGATTGTTTCTAGGAAGTGTCTGCTAATGGTAATGTACTAGCCATGTAATGTATTTGTAACTCATACTCTGTACGAAGACAATATTTTTCTACATATACACTCTCTGCATCTGATACCTCCCATTTCACCAAGTGTAAATGACAGTCTGGCAGTAAACAGCTACTCTGGGACACTTTCGGGACACCACAAATAGAAGGAAAATTGATCTGACATGTTGGAATTTTTTTGGCAACTTTATTTTCTTCTCCATTGTAATCTCAGAGATAAGCCTGGCTCTTGAATATATTGCCTGTACCCAAAAAAAGCTATATGTTTGCACATAGGTATGAGGCATGA